AGGAAGGAAGGAAGGAAGGAAGGAAGGAAGGAAGGAAGGAAGGAAGGAAGGAAGGAAGGAAGGAAGGAAGGGTGGGTTGACCAGCAGATCACAGTCAACCCCAGGCAGCAGCTCCAATGGCAAGCTGTTGGGCCCAAATTTGGGCAACAATCTGGTTCAGTGACATGTGGGACCAGGGAAAGGCTGCTTACCCAATCCACAGAAATCCAAAGCCAAGTGATCGAGGTCACTTGTCAGAAAACAAAACTGATATTCCAAGTTATCTTGCTATGTCTGTTGGTGGTGACATTTAAAGACAGCGCCCTCCCAACCCTGACAGCCAGCATGTGAACGTGAGCTGGAGGACAGAGGAGGGAGCTGTGATTAGCTGTAAACCTGACACAAAGCACCAGCGTCACAGGGAAAGGCCGGCACTCATGGACTGAGCTCGGGGACTTCTAGTCAGCATCAGGGGTGGATCCCAGCTATCGGGAACAGCAGTGGGCGACGAGGATGGGCAGGACTGCCAGCACTCACCCTGCAGGACACAGAGGTCTGGAAAGAACTGGGTCTGCTCCACAGGACAGGACCTGGGGGGCGGGGCCCTCCCACTGGCCAGCTCACTTACTTCCATTCATCTGTACCTCCCGGGGAGGCCACAGTGGCATCAGTGGGAAGTGACAGCAAGGTAGATTTCAGGGCTCACTACGTGGAAAACTCAAGTGTTGGTCTTGAAAAGGGTTCTGGCCCCTGTGGTGTTTGAGGGAAGCTGTGGGATCAGAGATAGAAGCAGGAACCTCTGCTGGAGGAAATGGGCCTCGCTGGAAACCTGCCTGCAGCTCCTGGCAGCTGGTCTGTGTGTTATACACATCTCAGCGTCGCTGCAGTGGACTTGGAAATAGGGGGATCACCATGATCCTTTGGGGTCCTGTGGTAAAGTGAGTTCAGGTGGCTACGTAGAAGGAAGGCAACTGATCTTATAAAGCCAAAGTGATAATAAAACGTGGATTCCTACCCCCCTCTTCCCTCTGCTGGGGAGGAATACGCCTGGACCTACCAGCAGGTGGGCTGGTTCTGGGACATTCTAGTTAACCGTTGCTAAGAGAAAGTGACAGTTCAAATTGCCTGTGCAAAAATTAAAAATCCACATAACCTCAGCCCATCATGACATGTTTGTAAAAATTACCATAAAATACAGTATCTATGACTGACACAATATATTACAATTGGAAATGTTGATCCAAATGTCAAAAGTGGGAGCTCTGGTGGAGGCCTCCGGCACAGCTGGACAGTGGCTCCCGTGTGCCAGAAGCATCACAGATGCAGCGGGCCGGGGAAAGGGTGCCCACTGTATTTTATCCCTCACACGCTGTATGAGGGAACTCGAGAAAGTCACAATTAAATCTGCCTGCTACTGTAAGAAAATCAATGCTTTCCCTGTTTTGGACAAGGTGGCTTCAGCAACGTCAGAGGCGACCCTGACAGGAGGAAGGCGTTTGGAGCAAGCTCCAGAGATGAGAAATGAGAGAGTCAGAGGGTCAGGATGCAGACAGTGTCCAAGGTGCTAAGTCAAGAAGAGAGTGGAGGTGCAGGGGCAAAGGTGGGGCCAGGGCAAAGAAGGCGGGTCTCCAGTTGCTGCCCCTTGGGGGCTGCGTCTCCCTAGATGTGTGTGACATGGAGTCCCAATGACCTAACAGTCACTATGCCATCATTCTTTCCCATGGCAGTGAGCTTCAGAGCTCAGCACCTGCTGGGTCAGCAAGGCTGCCCTGGCTGTAGGGCCCCCAGCATAGCCAGCTCCTCCCCCAGACCCTCCCAGACCTTAGAGCTGGAGGCTCTAATTGACAACCTGATTTCAGACTCCTAACTGCCCAGGACAGAGAGCAACTCTTCCTGGACTCTTTTCTGAAAAACAGCTGGTTCATGCTCACCCTCACTGTGCCATG